GCACACGAAATACCTTTCATTGGGAAAATTCATTGACCGGTAATTTAACTAGAAATGATCTGCTAATTTATTTTAGCCGCTATGGCTATTGTAGAAGATAAACGAGTTTATATTCACGGAAACAGAAGTAGACTCAACGCAAGCTTCAAAATACTTCTAAATGTCGACAGCAATGTATCTGTTACCGCCTCATCGTGGCTGGAACGCTTTCTTGGGTTTTGGGTTGCAATGTAGAGTGGGGAACCATCCCCCAGCATAGCCTCCAAATCGGTTCCAACGTTTCCATCCGGAAGCTCAGCTAAGAGCAAACCAATACCAGTCACCACTGTCTTGGTGTCAAACTAATCACTTAGTGGCAGGCAAATCACATCAAATATCGAAATTTCGCTGGAAGCGCACAAACAGTGAAGACAGGCCATTCGACTATCCAAGTATAAGCTGTGTAACATACAGTAATAAGCAGCATACATAACATTTATAGCCAACCAATAATACATCAGAGAGTATCCTACAATCCTTTCGTTGACAACTCAAGTTCTTTAGTTATTGAAAAAAAGGCCGCCATCGCGAATAGGTTTAAATTGATAAACGCAATTATTTGCTGGCATTGTTTTATTGAACCAATCACATACGATCGCAAATAGGCCGAAAATAGAATCTTCTTCAGTGAGTGAGGAAGGGAATGTTAAACATCCAAATACGTAGACGGTCCGTCTTGAAATGTTGTTAAGATCTCAGTACTTCCTCCATTCATTTCGCTGCATCATAGGTGTCAATGAAGCAGATGGTCGGTCTCGTCTATGGGTTCAGCTGCAACTTGAGGATCTGTCGTCTTCGAGATTTATGTTTGCTCAGAGTGTCTTTCAACAGAATAACAAGATATCCATTCAGCAGTATTTCCAAGTCGTCACCACAAGCAACGGCATACAACTTATGGATTGGTTTCTTACATTGCAACTAGGATTCGTCCACTACGGAAGCAACTTTTTTATCCGCAGCTATTCCCTGCTGATTTACTGATCGATGACAATAGACCGAATCCCAACGGAATACGTTATGCAGAAGTCGAAAAAGAACACAAAGCTTCCTCTCAAGGCTGACTCCATCATCATTCACTTCAAATCACGACAGATTCCTGACAACAACACTCTCATTTAGCCTATATATTTATAAATTGCTTAGTTTTTCTATTTTATACGTTTCAACTTTGGTTCAAAAAAAACCAAGAACGGTAGAAAAACGCTACGAACACTGCGATACACCCTGGAACTATGAAGTACACTGCACTCTAGCACCTAATGAAAATAACTTAATTAGAAATTAGAGAACATAGTTACTTGATACTTGAACGGCCCGTCCCTACTGGTTGTGCGGGCCCCAGCACAATCACCATACTTCGAAGATTTGCTGGTTAAACTATTGTGGTTGCCTGGAATCCCGAGGACAGCCTGGCCAAAGTCTGTCCCAGGTCTTCACCACGACAGGCAGTCGCAGCCCATATGGATAATAGGGGGATTTACCACCATGGGACTTTGATACCAAGACGGTGGTAGATCCTGGTATTGGTTTACTCTTAGCTAGGCTTTCTAATGGAAACACGGGACTCCTTGTCAATTTGACTCTGCCGGGGGACGAATTCCCCCACCTCCTATACATCGCAGTCCGACACGACACCCAGGAACATCTCCCAACCACGACGAGGCGGTAAACCATTGAGAAAAAGAACATAACTATTGGATATGCATAAGCTAAGCTCCGGAATGACACCTGTGCTCAATGACCTCTCGCCAGTATTACGATGTTCCTAATGCACCTCAGAGAAATATTATATGCAAATTTGGTGGCGTAAAAGAAATTACAGAAATTTTAATCTTCTACCTTTTATTTCCTATCTACTACAACTTTCACGGCAGGGTACTAAGCGAAATACAACCGCAACGTTGCTGAGATATTTGCAAAACTCCGGAACGCATGTGTATATAATGGGGAACGAACGCGCTATTGTCCTTTCCGAGGAGTTACGCGTTCGCCACCACACCATGCGGGTCCTTCGTTTCGTCTGCCTCTCAGCTAGTTCTATGGATCAGCGCCATGAGCAGTCACCCGCCTTTTGATCCAATGATTTCAACTATAGCCTCAGCATAACTGGGTTCAATGTCGATGTGAGCTCCTCAGCTCAGTGCCGCTGACGGGTGATTGCTGATGGCGCTGATCCATAGAACTTGATGAGAGACAGATGTAACGAAGGACCCGCACGGTGTGGTGGTGAACGCGTTACTACCCGGAAAGGACAATAGTGCGTTCGTTCCTCACTATACACACCTACGGTACAGCGTTTTGCAAATATCTCAGTAACATTGTGGTTGTACTGAAATCTTAATTTAAATTTAATTTACAAGAGAGTCCTCCCAACGGTTTACCGCCACATCGTAGCTGGGAGGTGTTCCCGGGTGTCGGACTGCGATGTACAGCGGGAGGATTCGTCCTCCCGGCAGTCTCCCAAGCTGAGAAGGGACCCGGTGTTTCCATTAGAAGGTCTAGCTAAGAGTAAACCAATACCTGGATCCATCACCGTGTTGGTATCAAAGTCGCATAGTGCTAAATCTCCCTGTGATCCACAAGGGCTGCGACTACCTGTCGTGGTGAAGACCTGGGAGAGACTTTCGCCAGGATGTCCTCGGGATTCCAGGGAATAACAATGGCTTAATCAGTAAATCTCCGAAGAATGGTGATTGTGCTGGAACCCGCACAACTAGTGAGGGCGGGCCGTTCAAGTATCAAGTACCAAATAAGTTACAAGAGAGCAAGTCATAGTTTCAAACGGAAGATCCCAGTTTTAACAAGCAAAGAAAAAAAAAAGAAATGCTCATTTGGACTATGAAAAAGGAACTCCAAACAGTTTCAATCCTCTGAGGATCGTTTTCATACTTCACAACCCCATATGAACTAAAATAAGAAACTAAAGCATGTATACCACCATTTCCTATGTTTATAGTTGGGAAGTAGCCGCCTCTAGCAAATAAATTAGCTCTATGGCAGAGTAACACTGCGCGTTAAGGAATATCTGGAGAAAAGAGCTACACAATGAAATCTAAAGAAAAACTCTTTTCCACAAATAACATAAAAGAGGAAAATGAGCGTAACCATTGAGTAACCGCATGATACAAAAACCATCCTGATCCGTAACACTCTTGAAAAGAGGCAATGCTCAGAATGTCTCCGCTGCTCTTCTAAAGTTTTCCTATTCATAGCCGCCCACTAGTTGTCCACTTTTGCATTGCTAAAAAGTTACTAGAACAGTGAATGAAGAATAAAATATGGAACAAATACTTCAGTAATACAGTACCGGAAAACTGAGACGAGGAACAAGTATGAAAAGAAAAGCTAAACAATGTAAGAACAGAAAAAAAGTTGATTCTAAGAAATACAGACCTTATGTGCAATGTAACAGGTAAGGTAATAATAATGGAAGGCAGACAACATTCAGACACAAGCAAGCTATGCAGAATTGAGAAGAGAAACAAAAATTGTAGAACGGCAAGTAGGATCCGCCACAATCGAAAGAAACTCGACACCTTAACTGAATTTACCCTGAATGCGTAACGAATTCTATACAAAGAACTCTGTCTGAACGACTGATGTAGACAGAATTTGTAAAAGATATACATTCATTTACAAGACACTTCAAACGGTTGTTGAACAGACCTGCGTTTTAATAGTAAATGGCAATCACAGACTAGACGTTATGAAACTTGATAAAAAGCCTTCTAACAAAGTCACAGTGAAAACATAAGGATTGCTTCCACTGGGAAAATCTATTGCACAATCCATACCAGATTACATCAAACCCAAGTAATTACGAGGATAAAAACTCGATCTCTTCGGCAGCCGTGTAATCAGAAATCGGAACCTCTCTCTGTGTACTGCTACTACTACCCATACTCAAAACTCCTCTGTGTGCTACTACCACTATCCATATGTCGTAAACCACCAACTGTGTACGAACCGTTCTCATCTTCACAGGAAACGCAACGCTCCCCTCGGAGGTCAGTCGGTCGTTCGATCGACGGCGATCTCATACGTAGTCTTTCGTCTTCCGCATAACCATTCAGGTGTTTATCCCCTCTTCTATCATCATCAAATGCGTTTTGTCGATGTTTGACAGTCTTACTGCTTTCACCAGATACAACACCACTTCGATGTCGCGACATCTCCTCTGAAACAGTGCTTTTGCGAGTTGGTGACTCTAAAATGTCTTCCATTCGGCAATGCCCATCGACTACGTCACCGCTCTTTTCTTCACGAATTGTTTGCAGCTCAAGCTGAAAATAGCTCGAAATAATTAAGGATACCGCTCACCAAAGCTAAATCTACGCAAATGTTAATACAGCCAAATTAAACAATTCGTTAAAAAAGGAAAACGAATGGCTTCTATCCAGTTACTACTGCTTAGATGGCAATTGAAATAAAAACTGCAATTATATGCTATTGTATGAAAGCTCTTAAACAAAACGACGCTGAGATATTTGAAAAACTCCGGATCGCAAGTACCTGCGGTGGGGATCGAACGCGCTATTACCCATTCCGAGGGCTAACGCGTTCACCACCACACCATGCTGGCCCTTCGTTTTGCCTCTATCACATTTCTTATTTCATATAACACACTGTGGTGAAAAATTGTAGTACAAAGTAAATAAAAAGTTAACTCTTTCTTAAATTCTAACAGAAACTTCATATTATCTCACTCGTTTGTGCATAACCTTAAATATAACACGATCAAATATTCAGCTCTACAAAATATACAGCAGGACACGATTTGGACATAGATGGACTCACATCGTCTGTTTCCACAGAACATTTACGGTACCGTTGAATTTTATGGTGCAAACCCAAAGCCGACACTTTACGCTTCAAATTATCCATTCCTGAAATGTTCATTACCATAATAGCAAACATCGATTCTTACAAAGATATTACGCAGTCATTGTGAATGCACTAGACTAACCCTCCTCGAGTATCGATGAATGTTCTTTCTCTTTTAACTCAGGTTGAATGGGTATATCTTCTGGCATCTTTCGTATTCGTAAACTTGCATTAGTAACCAAACCTTTCCGCCGTTTTTCCTAGAAATACCAAGGTAAAAGCAGGAAAATAATTCAAATAATACTCCCCCACACACGCTATTAGCAAAGGCTACTTGGAAATCTGGACAGCTGGTCTTCACTGGTTGTGCGGAACCCAGCATAATTTCCATCGTTTCGGAGTTTTGCTGAACTAGCAATTGTGGTTCACTGGAAACCAGAAGTCAGCCAGACCAACGTCTGCCTCAGGTCGTCACCACTACATGCAGTCGCAGCCTTTGTGGATCAGAGGGAGATTTGCCAACATGCGACTTTGATACCAGGACGGTGGTGGATCCTAGTACTGGTTTACTCTTAGCATGGCTTCCTGATGGAAACGACGGATTTTTCTCAGCTTGAGAGTCCCTACTGGGGGATGAATCCCGCCGCTGTACAACCCAGCCCGACAGCCAGGAACATTTCCCATCCACGATGAAGCGGTAAACCGTTGGAAGATTGGTTAAAAAAAATGGTATACAAATCAATATCTGTTACCAACTGCATTCGTTCTTGGCTCAACGTTTACAAATTGAAACGCAATTAACATATCGCATTAAATAAACAATATTAAGAGCGAAACTAAAACTAGATATAGGAAAACATGTATAAGAACCTATAGTCTGCGTTTTTGCTCACTAGACCGCAGCAAAGCAACATAAAAACTATTCTCAATACTGTAATACATAGCAATATAAGAAATTCATAGAGAACACCTACTGCATAATGGTTCCTCCCGGATAACAACTCATCACGTTTTTCCTTAGAAAGTGGATTTTCCAGTAAAGAGTTACGGATCGCACTCGTAACCTAAAAAAGGGGAACGTAGGATCGATGTCGGAAAAGTAGGCTTAAAGCTACGTTACTTTCAAAAATCCACAAATAAGACCAAATGTATCTCCCACTTTAGAAAATAAGGAACTTCTAAAAAAATAATGTGAACAACTGACTAAAATAACATCGGCAAGAATCTCATACTGAGCCCGCTGGTGCACAGCATCAATTGCCCGTAGTGCAACATCAGGAGCACCGTTGAAAAGCGCCATATAGACACCAGTTAGTAGCTCCAGTAGAAAGGCGGAATTTACGTGTTGACGTGGCTTCCTTGAAATTAATCTCCTTTGGCAAAAACAGCCACAAAGATTAGATAAAGATAGCCAAACAATTGAAACCAAAAACGCATAAAACTTCCATACGTTAAAACGTCTAGTTGAAGTAGAAGTATGTTAGGTGAGTATCAACTAAGAAGTGCGTAAGCAAGCAAATGTGCCTTAGAACATAATGAGAAGATAATGCAAAACCCATACTTAGAATGATCCTCAATGACCTCACACGATTGTTGTGAATCCATCACTTTACTAACAAAGTTCGTTTCCGGGAAAGAGAATCCGCTCTCACAAATTGAAATTGTAACCAGACAGACGTGTCGAGACACAACATCTGTTGCCAGGTAGACTATGCTATTATTCACCTGAACGTTATATATGAAATATCGACACTATTAAAAGAACCAGATGATTATTCTTTAACGGTATACCGCACAACCGTAGCTAACGTGGTACTGCTATGACATACGTTGTGGGTCCAACCTCCGACGGTCCACTCAAACTGAGGGGTTCCACCTTTCCACAAATAATTGAAAACAAGTTTCCCAGTGAAATTACTGCAGAATCCTGACACCAACTCTTGACTATTATCCTATCAAAAGCCATAAATTAAGGAGTTTGGCAATAAGAAATGTGATGGTCTTTGTGTAACCCGAACCAGCGCGGCCAAATCAGCAGCAATGACGTGCGAGAAAGAATGAGGAGTCTTTAGTAGTGACTGTTTCAGTTGCTCGATGACTAACGGGATTACACCTATTTACTCTGAAACCCCATTGGAACCATGGAAAGAATCTTCTGAAGAATGTCGCAGGCAATTTACAACCTCGGAACAAAACTATGGAAGTTAACAACGACAAAATGACCTGTAGAGCTTTGGTAAAATCTAGTGGAGATAACGTGTCGAAGTGGGACTTTTGAACAACAATAGTTTTACTTCATTGCACTGTTTCTTCCAGATTCTGTAGAAGTGAGGACTCACCTTAGTTTGCAAGGATGACATAAAACATTGTAGGAAGCAAAATTGAAAAAAAGTAGAGAACCCTAAAGAATTAACGAAAAAAGTCGAGAGATGTAAACTGACCGACTTCATAATCCGAGTCAAAATCGTGAACTTGGATTGAGACGAGAATGCTTCAAATGTCGGATACGGCCCAACACGTACCGTTGTCTTAAGAAGTAATAGAGAACAAAAAAAAAATGAAGAACTGAAGAATTTCATTGTCACGGACATCAGTAAACCGGACATAGTCCATATATATTAAAAAAAGCTAAAACCATTTTAAAGATATTTGTTTGGGGCTACTTTGTTTTAAAACATAATTCGACATCCACATTCAATTTTTAAAACATTCTTCACAACCCATCATCATCACAAAAAAGTTTTCCCAAGAATCTCTCACTAGCTATACGGTGATCAGAATGACTCCTTTTTCTCTTATACCCTCTGCTTCCTAGTAAGGACTCTGCACCGTCGCTTAGCCTTTTCATCGGGTTAATGTGCCTTTAGTTTAAACCTTATCCAAAAAGGTTAAACGTACCAAAACAGAGGGCGAATTTCCTGGTTTTGTCATGATAGACTCTGTCAATGCATTTATCTTTGCGGGATCATGATATATGCTCGGATAACGGATCGAAGGAATACGCACTTCTTCTACCTATGAAAGGCTATAAAAACTATGAACCTAAAACGAATGTAAAATCAATGTAAAAAATGGAACAAAATACCATTTAAAACATCATGACGACACAAATGAGCAATAAGGAAGGTGTTGGCTTACTTAAGTGCATGTGAAATAAAAAGGATAAAAGGATAAAGCTCTCGGTTTTGATCTATCTCTCAGAGATGTATCATGCATTCGATTTCATTAAGCTTCGTTGGAGGTAATTGAATGCATATCTCGTCTTTATAATGACTCGCAGTAGCCTACCGATGAATCGAACAAGTGCCGCTATCTTACCAGACAAGTTTGGTACCAATTTTTCGGCCCCCAGAGTGCGGGGAGTGAGTAGGGCTTGGCACATACACCCTTATAGAATTACTATGTTTGTACCATCACAAATCCGGTACCAATTGGCCGATCCAGGAGGGACGGAAGGGCTTGGTGACCCTTGGCACTGGGATTGATACCACGTGTATTCAAGGGCGCCTCCGACCACTGCCTTACACACCCCGTTTCACATGAAACTATAAACTTAAAAACCTACCAATAGTTTTCTTCTTTGGATAATAACATAATCCACACTACCTTTTTCACCAATCTGTCAGATCCGGGACCACCTTCTAGAATTTCCTCGTTATAAACAGCAAGAAAGAAGGTCTCGAATACGGCTACACTCTTCTGTTGTCTTTTGGATAACGCATACAGGTAAGTGCCAATGAAGGACGGGATATACTGCAACGCATACTGTCTGAGCACTGCTGAAATAAAGTTGACGATCTAATCAATACCTCGGCAACTAATCAATGTATTTAATCAATAGAACTGGTAGAGAAGAGAGGACTAAATATAACTGCAACTTCTTGGAACTATGGAAAGCCATGTGCCAAGCATTAATTCATAAGAATTGACAATGTATCCCGGAAAAAACGAAGGCATGGGTATAGGGCAACAACCTTGCGACAGACTTTCAATGATTCTCTAATAAGTAAAGGAAAAGCAGGAAAACCTCTAATACTGGCCCTGGTCATATCTTTACAATCCACACGGACTAAAACCCTTTCAAAACCACTTAAATATTCAAGTCATTTAAAGTATTTAGCTTAGCGGGAACCATTCAAATCGCTCACCTCCTCTATAGTATAGAGCTAAAATCTGCGCAACAAGAGGCTGTACCAAGTCAACGTCCCTAAATCTCAAATATAAGCTTTAGCTAGATGTGATGCATGTGAAAGAAAGGAAAAAGAAGAAGAAAGTAGATGATAGAAGTATTCACCTATAATTCACAGTGATGTAGTTGGCACACAACATCGTATTGTGAGCCCATTTGTCAAGAAGTTTCTTCGTGATCTCCACATCGTCGTGACCATTCGATCTGATGGATGTTTTCGATAGATCGGTGAGAAAGTCTTGAAGCTGCTCACCATTCATAACTTCATCTGAACGAATAAGAATAAAACAAAACATAGGAAGATTAAAATAGGGTCAGGTAGCCTGATAGAAGAAACTACGCCAAAAACACGAATATTACAGCATAGTAGGGAACAGTACTGTTACTAAGATTGGAAGAAAAAGAGCTAAGTAGCAAACGACTGTGCAATACAACTAACCTCCAACTGTTCATATATAATTTCTGCTTTCATCTAATTTGTGTGTGTTCTGTAAAGATCGATGCACACAATACACCCTAAATTACAATGTGTTTTGACACGGTCGTGACCATTTTGGGGGTTGGTTATTGGTAAGCTGATTGGATTAAAATGAAATGGACTAGTGGTTTTGGAGAGTATGAAGATGGTGGTGTAGTAGTAAACTAATAACGTTTGAGGAGATCCTTTGAACAGTGGCGACACCTTTTCCAGAAGCGCCTAGGCTTACGGCTGTCCACAGGAAGCATCTCTTTTTCTGGTGAATTGGTGCTTGCTGTCATTTGAATTTAGGGCGCTTTCACTCGCAAATGATTTTTAGACTGTATAGAATGACATTCGAAGCGAAGGACCGATTATCAAAGCAGGGAGGAACTTCTTGAGATTTTCTGAAAAGTGCTTGATGTAGTGTCTCTTACTTGATACTTTATACTTGAATGGCCCGTCCTCACGGGTTGTGCAGCCCCAGCATAATCTCCATTTTTCGGAAATTCGCTCGTTAAACCATTGTGGTTCCCTGGAGTCGCGAGTAGAGCCTGGCGAAAGTCTGCCTCATCGTGGCTAAGAGGTGTCCCTGGTTGTCGGACTGCGATGTACAGTGGGGGGGATTTATCCCCTGACAGGGTAAACCGTTGGGAGGTGATGTAATGTTAGGTGTAGGAATGTATATGATCTGTGAAGGGCCTAATTTTACAGCCTTTTCACCTAAACTTCTTTAGTTAGACATCTTATTCCACAAAATAGGAAGAAATCCGCTCAAAAAAAATTTTCTCAAAATCTAGATTATTCTTCTCTCTATGGTGACGGCTGGAAAAAGTATAGTTTAAAGCTTACAACTCAATGTTTATTATTCATTAACGGAGCGCCTGTAGCGAAGTGATCAGAGGCGCCCTGCAATGCACTTGAGATCGGTCTCGCTCCAAGCTCATCAAGCCTTCCATCTCTCCGGGGTCGGCAAAATGGTACCAGGCTTGGCTGCAATGGCTCAATACATCGGTATGGAACCGCGAGTCATTGTAAAGGCCACATATGCATTCAATCACCTCCAACGATGCTTAATAAAGTCGAATGCATGGCGTATCCCTCAGGGTTTGATGAACACCGGGAGCTCTATGCTTTGGATTTTTTATTCATTCACTTCAATGTCAGCGGAGCTTGATGATAATAATAATTTACAGGTATGAGTTATACCCATCGAATGAGATTTTCACTTCTAGTGATTTACTGCTTATATTGGCTTAGAAATGTTCTAGGGTGTACAACTATTATGTACAGCAGAGATTGGCAAACTATAGCAGAGCTCACCCAGACGAGAAGGGATTCATGATTCCTCCCAGAGTATCATCTGTTAATTTCAGGACTCTTTGCCGGCTTGGTAGCAATCAAGTCATAATATGAGAAATATCGTTCAAATCCACAATAGTTAGCGACCGCCTTTAGTACCAATCACATGAATATTTTCCTGGGACCCATACATTTCTTCGCCTGGACGGATAATTCACGTTTTCAAGTGTTTATGTTGTAACAGACTTATCAACTAGTCACTCAACTTATCATCGAATGCACATCATGAGAGCAACTGGGTTTTTAATACCTCATCTCTAAGAAAACTCGATATAGCATTCGGCTGTTAATTTATATCTACAGACAGGAGCACATTTTTAGAACATTGTTCTTTCTTTGTCCTCTCATGTAAACATTGTAAACCTAATTTTAACTTATTATTTACTGCCTGCTCTTTTTTAAATGGCAGGGTATATTGCGAAATATAACTTCACTGATGCTGAGTTACTTGCAAAACTCTATTATCCTTTCCGAGGAGTAACCCGTTCACCACCACGCCATCCGGATCCTACACCATGAAACGAAGGACCCGCATGGTGTGGTGGTGAACGCGTTACTCCTCGGAAAGGAGAATAGCGCGTTCGTTCCTCACCGCATACACCTGCGGTCCAGAGTTTTACAAATATCGCAGCATCATTGAAGCTACGTTGGAAACCTATTTGCATCTATAGAATCTTTGACATCGCTACTGCTCAGAGAAACCTTTCTAAGGCTTTCTTGAAATACGAACAGTAACAAAATAATATTGACTTTTTATTCACTGCACTTTACAAGTTTTCACGGCGGGGTATTTTTTGTGGAGCAACTACAACTATGCAGAGGTATTTGGAGAACTCCGGACCGCAGGTGTCTGTGGGGAACGAACGCTCTGTTACACTGTGGGAGTTAACATGTTCACCACAACACCATACGGGTCATTCGTTTCTCCTGTTCTTCAGCTAGTTCTATCGGTCAGTGCAATCAGCTCGTCAACGCGATTGATCTGGAGAAGAAGAAAAATACAAAATTCTGCCTATCTATATAATTTCACTCCTTTTGTTGATTTCCACTGACAGTAATATAGCTCATTTATACCGTGACCACGTATATATCCTCTTAAAAAAGAAAACCCATGGTGTGGTGGTGGATGCGTTAGCTCCCGGAAAGGGTAATAGCGCGTTCGTTTCCCACCGGAGACACCTGCGGTCCAGAGTTTTGCAAATATCTTAGCATCATTGTAGTAACAAAACAGCTTTATAGATGATCAACATTTATTATATTTCCATTATAAACAAACACATTCAATAGAGGTGGTCAATGTTTTCGTCGCCTTCGCCGCCGTCGTCGACAGCACTGATCCATTCCACATCCGTAGAAGCCGTCAGAACAATCGCATACTCCATCGGCGAAAGTACATGGTTCGACCTTACATGTTGTAAAATAGTTTCAAGAAGGTTGTCAAACAATTTTCGTATCTTGGATTGTTAAGCTTACGCGAGGTTGTTGTACAAATTTTATATCTCCAAAAAGAAGATATTAATTCGAGAAGGTATTGTTTACTAGCACCGAGGCTAAATGACGATCACTTTGGAAATTAAGCTTGTGCGCTGTTTTTCTTCCCTTCACGGTGTTCTTCATCGAAGCTATTTCAGTAGAAATTCAGTGATTTGTGAAAACCGTGTCAATATCGCGCAGAGAGATTGGTCATCAGTAATTATACGCATAAATAGTTAGGTGGGTGTGTGTCTATATACTATGTATATATTTAGGTATTCGTGTGTGTGTGCGTGGATGTGTGTGCGTGTGTGTGTATGTGCGTGCGTGCGTGGGTGTGTTTGTGTGTAAATTCATTCGATGTTAAGTGATTCACCTAATTCCTATCATCTCATGCGAAACAGAACTTGCCTCATATCCGACCATAAAAACATTCGAAAAGAAATGACATGAGCACTACACAACGTTTTCAACCGCTCGATATTTACATAATTCAAAAAGGTTGTTGAGGTAAACAAAAGTATCATAACAACCACACCTGAAGTGGGCATGCGTTCTCACATGCAGTTTCACATAAGGGTTGGCAATGAAGTGCGTCCACCTGCTTACTGCATTGTTTTATACATTCCGTGGCGCACTCTGATGTGCATGATACCGTTTCCTGAAAGCGAACATATGCAGAGAAAACTCAAATCAATAAAAAATTTGCATGATATGTTCTAAACAAGAGACTTATCAAGAATTTTTTTGTCAGTGCCCATACTAGTATCATAGTTATCGATGAGCCAATACGAGATTGCCAAATATTTCTGCCGTGACTGACGTTTCAGTGCCATGTTCGTCCAAAGTACCACCGATTTAAGGTGAGTGAGTGCCCAGCTCATTGTTGAGAATTCCGGCTACTTTGTGCTCTTCGAAGTTTACCCTCTGTCCGAGGATGTGAAGTAGCACACTAACGAGGTAAAATGTCAATCACACTAAAAGCTTTTGACAACAATACGTATTAGCCCATCGAAGTCTGAGATAGGACTGTAACCTCATGGAGAGGTTACGAAAATTAGGTCTGACAATGAGTTGCCTTTGATAAATGTCGCGATAGCCCAAACCATTGTCTGAATTAGTTTATAGACGAATAAAACACGGAGGTCTTTTTCTAGTGGAACTTTTAGCTATGCTATGGAATATTGAACTTCGTAGCGCAGTTCTCAGAGGTGCCCCGCAATATAGATGGGTTTAATTCTGCGTTCCAGGCGCATCAAGCCTTCTATCCCTCCGAGGTTGGTAAATTGGTGCCAAACTTGTCTGGGAGGATAGCAGCACTGGCTCGATGAACCAGTAGGCCACCGAGAGTCATTGTAAAACGCTAGGTATGATCTCAATCACCTCTAGCAATGCTTGATGAAGTCGAATCTATGGATTATGCGGCGAGGATTGCTCAACGCCAAGAGATTTGTCTCTTTTTCATGAGAACATTAATTGCGTGCAATTAAAACCACAACGTTGCTGAGATATTTGCAAAGCTCTGGACCGCAGGTCTCTATAGTGGGGAATGAACGCGCTATTGTCCTTCCCGGGGAGTAACGCGTTCACCACCACACCATGCAGGTCCTTCGTTTCGCCTGCCTCTCAGCTATTTCTATCGATCTTTGCCACAGCAATCACCCGTCAGCGGGATTGATCTGGGGCGCCCAAATCGGCATAGAACCCAGTTAAGCTGCGGCTGTAGTTGAAATCACAATGTTATACCTTTTTATTTTCTGCCTACTATAATTTTGCGGCAGGGTACTAAGCGAAATACAACCACAACGTTGCTGAGATAAACTGCGTGCAATTAAATCGCAGCGTTTTTGGTTCATGGTATTCAAACTGCGGGTATCTTTGTTAGATCAGTAATCGATCTATCATGTTTCCGCAGAATTTCGTTAAAGTATTGCACTATTCACTTCACACCATCGTAGCTACTGTAACACTGCTATCGTGCACTACTTGAATACATTAATGGCTCCTATTCACCGCTCGTGAAAGAATCGACACGTTTTTCAATCCAGTTCATTCAGATTTGTCATGCACCATGGTAGTCCATCTCAGTTATAATGACGTTTACGAGCACCATTCTGAAATCCCCAGGTGGGTCAAATCCATAAATTGTGTCAACTTTTTATTTCTTGCCTATTATAATTTTTCATGCCAGGGTATGATGTGAAGTAGACCGGCACCGTTATGTAGAAAATTAGCAAAGAGAAAGGGAAAGCAAGGGTCTCAGTGGTGCGGTGTGTGACACGCGAGTCCCCCGAAAGGATGATCGTGGTTCGGTCCTGCCTGATGCCCACGTTTTGTAAGTTTCTCAGCATCATTGTGGTTGCATTCCACATAAATTATGTTAACACTCTTGGATACTTCCTTTCTGAATTGATTTTCTCACCCATTTACTCTCTCCCTCTCGCCCTCTTTCCGTTTCTCTTTTTTTTTCTTCTCATCCTTTTCGTCCCGAATCCATAAAGCTAGTAGAGTTGATTGGATGTCTTGCTTATGTCTACGGATGAAATAGATCGGTGACTTTCTTCTTCAGGCAGGTAAGTGCCAATTTGTCAATTATTAAGGGATAGGAGCATGATTAGCACAGGGCGTGAGATTGAATGGAGCAACGAATACGCGTGTCGGAAGGTACCAATCAGCACCGTGCTATACGCGTCTCATTACGAAACGTGAGCAAACCAGCGCCTTTAATTAAAATCTCCATTTTCCTCGTATTCGTTGCTCCATTCAGAAAAATTTATCACGCTTGTGAGTTACATGCGCTTCACAGTTTAGGTTCTCGAGAGGTATACGAAATTCACCATACATTTGGATGGAGAACCATAATTTTTTGTTCGGAGTGGAGTGACACGTACTCTAAGGGTCACATAGTCGTGAAAGCTAAAGAATTAAAACGTCATTGTAAAGAAAGAACTCCTATTGTTATGTGCACGCTCTCCAAGTCGAGCGAAACAAGGATAAATTCAACCTTTTCGCAGATTATTATATCCACCGCCCAACGGTTTACCACTTCATCGTGGATGAGTGGTGTTCTTCGAAGTCAGGCTGCGATGTAAAGCGGGGGTTCATCCAACTAGTAGGTACTACCAAGCTAAGAAGCGGTTCGACTTTCTATCTGAAATCTCAGCTAAGAGTAAACAAATGCCAGAAATCACCATCATCCTAATATCAAACTAGTTGAATAGTTGAAAATTTCTCTCTACTCCACAAGGGTGGAGACTGCCTGTGGTGGTGACGATCCGAAGAAGACTTCGGCTAGAATGAGACCGGGATTTTAGGACCACAATGGCTAAACCAGTACATACAAATTATACTGGGGCGAGCACAGCTAGTGAAAACGGGCCATCCATCTAATCAAGTGTCCAACCAAACGTTGTATCCAAGAAAAAAAAAGAGAACGGCACTCGAAAATATTATGAACACCTCAAGGGAAAAAGCACCTCTAGAATCCAGAGAGGGCACGTAGCAGTGACGCATGTACATGTAGCTTGCACTACACATTAGGTCGTTTGTTGGATTCCGAGCACTTGATCAACCAGTTCTTCCATCGTTAGGATTCGGCGAAAAGATGCCAGACTTCGCTCGAGAGAATGAGAAAACTGAATCGCAACATCGGTATCCCAGATTCTATTGTATTAGCCACTTGTGAACCCAATCAGCTCCATGATGCCTAATGTTTCCGAATGCATGACGCATCCCTAAGTGATTATTGGACGGCGATAGCTTCATCCTTAATCCTTTTACAGAATCCAGGCGCGTTAATTGAGAATCAATAGCGATTGTGCTAATATTTACACGTGTTATGATAAGCCGTAAAGGATTCCGTAAAAGGATTAAGGATGAAAATATTCCTCTTCGGTAAACTTAGTCCATCGGGAACGAACGAGTCTTTAACAGAACCTCTTTAACAGAACAAACAATCAGAAGAAGTTCACTTAAAAATAAGAGAAATCTGTGCCAAATGCTATTTATGTTCCAGTAAAAATGAGGAGTTCAAGTTGATCGTAGAACTATTTTTTGTATTAAAATCGCAGCCTTATTTCGTGACAAGTAGTTTTTTCTAAGAGAAATCCGGTAAATCAGTATGCCGATCTTTGAAAGATGGATGGCTTGATTGGCATAGGGCTGCGTGGAAGCACCGACCATATGTTTTATTGCACCTATAACTACTGCGCTTCCCACTTCTTTTATTTTAGACCTTCTAAACTGATATTATTGTACCTGCAAGGGTTCCTGCAGCACGATCTGCATACGCCTTTCGTTTGAACACGTAGGACAAGCGGCATATTGCTGACAACTAGAGGTGCACGAGTCGTAACATGCAGTCTAAAAATCTGATACTCTATGTGAATAACTGGAAATTGTAGCTGCTAGGAATACCAATAAGTTTTTGCAAGTTCACAGCTGCCTTTGGAGGCTATGGGGTTGGGAATAACGCTGTGTATTCATTTGAGATTGTTGACGCTGCTATAGGAGGTATTTAAGAAGATCTTCATCGAGATTTGCTATAATAGTCGGCTTTAGGTGTTCTCTTAAAAGACATACTTATTAATAAATATAACTCTTCCGTATCAATCGCGAATCTTCTTGGATTTTCATCAAAGAAAACAGCAAATGTGCGAAGAAGAACGGATTTCGAAATGTCAGCGACGAATTTAAGTAGCGCACAAAATACAACAAAAATACCCTCGTTGGTTTAAAACTACTCAGAAAATAGATCTGTAGAACAACATTCAAATGCGGCTAATGTTCTTGAGCAGTATAGATGTGGATGAGGTGATGACGTCAATAAGATCAGGGCCATTATTTGTGCTATGTTTCCTAGAATAGGTAGGATGGTTGACTCACCTTACAGCTACGTTTTCTGTGATTGTTATGTTCGCAGCTGAGTTGACAGCTTTCACTGCATGGTGTCATACATGTGTCGTTCAACGGAACGACAATCTCAAACTGGTAGTCTTGTGTACACTCAAAATCGCAACTCGGCTGACACTGCGCTGCACATTGTCCAGTTGCCTGATCGTTCGTCGTTCCTGACATCGACGATTGCTGTCCCTAGAAGATCAGCATCCAGGCTATACTGCAAACATTTTAAAAGTAGTAGAAAACAGGTGTACAGATACAAATCACTCGCCGTTATTCCCTACATAGGAACACAAGTACGATCCACCCCATCTTCACTGACTGCTTCTTTATAAAACACGACTGATAGGAAGGCGAAACGAAGGAACCGCATGGTGTAGTGGTGAATGTGTTATCCACCGGAAACGGTTATGGCGTGTTAGATCCCCACCGTAGGCACCTGCTTTCCGGAGATTCGCAAATATTTCGGAATTATTGTAGCTACACTTCTTTATTTATATCACATATCTTCGCATATACCATGAGGATTCGTCCATTTCTCTAACTTTTTTCGTTTGCTTACATCCGTTATTTATAGAGGTTTGAAACTGCGTATAGGTTCGCCTGCTAACCAACTCATTTATTCACCTCAATAGTTTAACCAGCAAATCTCCGAAAAAATGTGATTGTGCTGGGGCCCGCACCAACAGTGAGGACGTGCCGTTCAAGTATCAAGTAGGCATTATTGAGTTTTTCATGACAACGTGAAATCTTCTTGTTAGATTTCTTCTTGCACAAAATTTTGGTTCAGCATTTTCTCTGTTTGGTTATGGAGGTGTTTGGTCGTGTAGATTGTAATCAACTTGACCTTTCCAGGCACTGAGGAAGGCGAAATCCGCCGAAATGTTCATGTTGGAAATATTATACTTTTCTTGATATTCTCTTCGGATGTTTTCGCCAGCACTTAGTTTACCCTTGTTTTTGTGAAACATTAAAAACGCACTTAACTTAACGAGTGGACGACTTAAGATAAATTTCTTTACCCTAAAGCATCAAGTTGTATTAGCACTAGAAATTACAACTAAACAAAAAAGCTAAAAATTGGAGCTAAGAACTAAAAATTAGCATGGTATTAAAAGTACAAAGAAAAAAGCTTTCAGCGTCCTCTGGGAATGTGTCATTGGCTCTACTCCATTCGTGGCCTCGTTGAGGTGATTGAATGTAAATTTCACCTTTAATTACCTCCGGGTAGCTACTGTTAAATTAAGTCACTGTCCTTATCATTCCAAACAACTCTGGCACCAATTTTCCGACTCCAAAGGATTGATCGATTTGGTCAGAGTGGGTGTGGGTTTGAACTAATGGCCACACGTGTATTTTAGGGCACCTCAAACCGCACTACAACTGCCTCTAATATATCGAGTACTAGAAAAATATCAGGACTTTTGTAGTTTCATACAGCAGCTACTTTTTGAAAGTGTTTCTAACATAGTACCTGAATACATTGAAGTTCACAGGCTGGTTGGCAATCTGAAATGCAGTTGCTGCTCATTGGCGGCGCTTGCGCATATACCTGGAACGCTCAAACCTTGTTCTTTCACTAAGATATGCGAAATCGTTGCTAATCGTAGAGCAGTCTCACCTCTACACATGATGGCTCACACAGTGGCTGACATTCCTTTACACAAATCGATAGCTGTGATTGTGGAAAAATTTGTGCAGCACCTATAGTACTGGTTAAGCACTGTTGTTCACATTCTGGCATACATTCCGGAGCACATTGAACACTCTCAGCGAGCAAATTTCGTCCTGGCAACATTGCCCAGTCTTGTTTATTTTCTTCCTCCAAGACGATATTTATAGAAAGATTCGAATTTTGTTGGATACAATCGGATTCACAAGCGGGCATGCATTGCGCTACGCATGGCTGTTCATGATTGGGCTCTAATGTGACTTGAGCTAGTTTTGTCGCTACGAATTCATTGACGATGTGACTCTTGACGCACTCCTCTTTGCATGCAGGTTGACATTGCGAAACGCATTCTGTGGGTGGCTTTGTGTACAAATGTTGAACTGGCCACGCAGTAGTGCTTTGTTGCGATTGGGCATTTTGGTATAAAGTGACGTTCAATGCAACCTTTTTTAAACATTGTGGGTTGCACGCCGGTTGGCAGATTGGGTGGCAAGATTCTAGGGCTTGATGGACTGGAAAAGGGTGCTGTGGATGTGGGTAGTGTGAGTTTCTATGCAGGCACTCTTGTGTGCAAAAGGGCATGCAAGTTGCTATACAGAGAGTCAGAGGTTGAACGGATAGTGTAGAAACAGCTGGAGTCGACGTAGTTAGTATTCTTGGAGCTGATGTAGTTACTAATCTATGTCGATCAATGCATTTTGTATCGCAAAGAGGCATACAGACAGCTATACACAGAACAGACAGGTAGTTCGGAGAAGGAATAGGTTGAATCACTGACTGCTGCTCTTGGATGCAGTTTGGTGTACACTGAGGCATACACAAGTTCAAACACTGCTTCGATTCGGTGGGAAACCGAGAAGGCATGGCTTCGTGATCGCTTTGTATCTTGGAAATGGCGATGCTGTGCTGTAACACACACTGCTGTGCACAAGATGGCATGCACACGGGTGCACATTGAGGGACGGATGACTGTTGTGATGTACGAGAAACAACAATGTTAACGCAACTCGGTTCACAAGACTGTTGACAAAGTTGTCCACAGTTTGTTGGATTGCTCTGCGTCGAGCAGGACTGATAACAGGACTGCTGACAGACAGGTGCGCATTCTGTAGGAGATCGCAGTTGAGGAATCCGTACACGAATCACTGTTCTCCGTCTCATCATACAGGACTGAGAGCAAGTGTGCTTGCATGAAGTTTGGCATAAGTTTGTCGGATCACCACCGACACAAGTCGATGCACAGATGTGCTCACAAGTCGGTCGACACAGCGATGTTGGAACTTGAGAAGTACAAGTACAGGAAGGTGAGCGTACTGGAGGAGCACAACGACAGTGAACATTCGGCTCGCTTTGGCATGTACAGATGTCGAGTTTCAGGCAAGGACACTGTCGTATTGCTCTGGTGAGTAGTGTCTGAAGAACAACGCCTTAGAATTTAAGTTTTTTAAAAGCCTTATTAGGTCTGTCGACTTTAGAAATTCAAATTTGTAACAAAGTAAACACAAATCTATCCATAAATTTAAAATCAAAAAGGAATCTTCCTGTCGATCCTAATTCTCGTAATTCTATTCGCAGTTTCATTCTCAAACAAACGTGCTCTTTAGTTCCTAAGAAGCCCGCAAGGTTTCCAAAGAATTTGAAGTTTCCTTTCCTTCTGAAACGGCAGTGGAATGCGTCATTTTAAAGTACAGACATGAATTTTTTACATTCACCCACTGTAAATCTGCTTTGTTCTCTTCATATTGTCTTTTTCTTGTTTTACTACTCGATCTGGTTCCTCTTGGCTAGCGATCATCAAGCGCAAAAATAAGATGGAAGCCTTTTTCTTAAAATTATTCAAGCTTCCAACGTTTCCTTAACGAATAGTGGACAACTGAAATTTGCGTTGTCTCAGCTTAACATAGTGGCACTTATGAAATCCTAATCATTTTAAAAGCTGAAAAAAGAAGCTGCAAAATATTATCTTATTACTTGTCCCTTTGTGCATAAACTGCAATATCGACTTTTTCTAGGGCTGGATTTGTTGGTTGCTCGGCTGCGATCCCTACTCACTTCGTCACTGATGTCCAGGCTTCTGGCCTTTTCTTAGCAAGCCAGGTGCAGTGGCAAACCACTGTACAACGTACTCTTTGTTGTGGACAGGTATTGACCTTTGCACTTAACATAAGAAAGAAAAGACATCGACTAGATGATTGCTGAACTTAGTTCAGACTCCATCATTGTTCAGAAAGTTGAATTAACACGCAGAGATTGGTTTCAGGGAATGAAAACATTGTTGTGGTCTACGATTATCAATTTCCTAGGGATGAGCCATATACTCGGCTCTATTCGCACCTATGGAAATTGATGCATATTCAGTATATAAAATGACTTATGAGAACCTGCTGGTCTATATATTCAGCACTTTTAGAGACTATTAAGCTAGCACGAGGTTGTTGCAAAAGTTTTATTCCACTAACGCTTCGACGCTTCGCCTTCTCCACAGCTGGATTGACCCGAGTCGATTGTTTGTTCACAGCCGCTCGTTGTGATGCCGTTCTTCGTAGTCTCATCAAGTCGAATTTTCTGTTTCGGGTGAAGGAGGACTTTTATACAGGACCGTTGCTGGTCTAACCGATGTAGCCTGCTTTTTTCAGTGGTAATTAGTCGTGCAGCAGTCGGTGTTGCATTCATTTATTCATACCAGGTTTAATTGACGGTTAGTTATGAAAAGTGTAAAGACGTGTTTATATCCACTCTAAAAAACCTGATACCAATAGCAATACCTAATTTATGAAAGGTGGAGAGATTAGATTTGCCAGAGAGAAAAACCACATGAGCAAGAAGACTCAACCGTCGTTCACACAAATGTATTGCCACAATGAGATGGAGCAAAATAATAAAAAGAGTAAATAAACAGTCAGCGTTGATGAATTCCTTAGCGACGTAGAGACGGAACGTACATTGGACACCACTAACCACCGTACAAACGGCTGAATACATATATGGTCAAGAGAATGATTTGTGAGCCGAGCAATTTATGAGTTTGGTTTTTTTTATCCTTATCCCTCGGGTGAAATTTCGTACCAATTTTTTCGTTCTAAAGGATTAGGAGATTGGTTGGAGCGAGGAGAGGGTCGAGCCAAAGACCTCGCGTGTGGTGTAGGGCACCTCTATCTAGTGGCTTGCACGCGCCCTAATCTTGGGTTATTGCACTGGTTTGCGGAAGTGCTCGATATAATATATTATGATGCGACGTAATTACACTAATTACTTATGATATTATGGTACCAAACATCTATTACGATATTAAACATCTCAATGATAACACTGAGCTTATGGATTTAGAAAATCTTCGGACGAAAGTGAGACAATCTTTTCAGTCATCACTTGTCTTTTATTTTCGATTTCAATACTTTAAGTAATATGTCAAAAACAAAGATAACCAGGGAAAGATATTTGATTTTTTGGACTCATCCTTATCAAATCATTAAAATGCTCAGGTCAAAGGTTAGGAATGGAAGAGGCAAGGTGGCGAAATTTTCTTCTTAATGTAGGATTTTTCAACTTTTATTAGACCTCTCAAAAGTTTCCATGAATTTGTTTTTTTACGACCCGTCCTTAACATCCGCTGTGCGTGCCAGCACTTCACACATTCGATTCGTTTCCTGTTTCCTCGCGTCCATCATTCACGAAGCTCTTCCAACTTTTATATAGGGAATCGGCTGCTGCTTGAGGATTTTATTTTCATTCGTTAATCTCATTGGATGCTGGTCGAGTTGCTTCACCCTAAAGTTCTGAGGTTTTCGGTCTAGAGCGTTCTCGCTTGTATTGCAGAAAGTGATTTTTTCCCGGAGAAGGCCAGCGCCAATTTTTTGACCCCGAAAGGAAAGGGGGATCAGTGAGCCCGGAGCCCGATTAGTCCAGCACGTGCTCATGATTTCTGGCATCCTTACTAGCGCTACACGGCCCTATACTTGCTTCATTGTTTCTAGGCATAAAAATGAACGAATTTGATATCTGTTAGATTGTTTGGTTGATACGAGAAGATATCTAGTATCCAGTGATTTTTTTCTCCTATTAATAAAAAAGAATGAGTGAGTTTAAATATATCAACTACTCGTTAAAAAATAATTAATCAAAACAGTAAAATTTATTATGAGTTGAGAAATATTGGGTAGGAGCGCGGGTAGCGTGGTGGTAGCGATGCCGTTCACTATGAGCAAGGCACTACTTTGACTCGGCACCAACTCATTCAAGCACCCCGGCCAGTCTGAAATTTGCACTAGAGTTATTTTGCTCCTATTCGCTTTCTCTAATCCACAAAGGTTGGCGCATGGCTATGATAACATCGCGAAGGCCCCTAGCACGGCTATCCCAAGATTCCAGAGGGAACCGACTTGACTAGCATCCAACGACATCCATGGAGAAACCAAAAATCCGAAAGCAGCAGCCCTTGATATCTGGCCAAGTAAAAAAAATTTAAAATGATATACTATTAGTCTAAATGTGTTGCGTAATAGTTAAGACGCATATCGTTAAACATTTTACTAAACTCTTAAGTTGCAACACTTATTGATTTTTAGCCTGTTTCTTTCTAGAAGCCGGAGTACGGCTTTGAAATTTATTAGTGTGCCTGACATCAAAAAGTGAGACCATAGTTTTCGAGATTCTTACCATATTTTTCGTATTTAGAAATTGAAGAAAAAACTGAAATTTCTTCTTTAGAAGAGTGGAAACTGAGTATGTTCAGATTAGTAGGAAATGTGAAGTGCCGTATGAGAGCAGATACCGAAGAGATTTAAAAAAATAGAGATACTTGGTAAACGAATCCTCTAGCGTACCTGACTGGTTAGGCCTGCCAACAATAAAAAACCTAGCAAATCAACTGCTCCCATCATCGCAAGAATGGCCGAGACAAGTTCGTTGCCCTCAGTGTCTTTTATAGTGGGCGAAACCAGCCTTGTGTTCCTCCCCGACTACGTTCCGTTCGTAACCGCAGCTTGATCCGACGAACCGGCCGCCGAGTTCAACGCCGAGCCGGGACACTTTGTATGTTCTCGTCCACGGTGGCTCACATCAAGTATATTTTTGACGTCGTTAAACCAAAAAAAGTCATTTGTGGTCTACATTTCTTTAAAACACTAGGAATATATCGTTAAAAAAGTATTTAGACCATAGATGAGTTATTTTCGTTTGAGAATAAGTTTGCGTGCTCATGGTCCACCAAGTCCTTCATCCCTCCGGGGTCGGAAAATTGGTACCAGACTTGTCTGGGAGGATAGGAGCACTAGCTCGATACATCGGTAGGACAATGCGAGTCATTGTAAAGGTCAGGTATGCATTCTATCCTCTCTAACGATGCACAGTGAAGTCGAATGCATGGCGCATCCCTCAGGGATTGATGAACGCCGGGAACTTTATCCTTTGAGTTTTTATAGGAGTGAACGGATTCATTGTATTTATTTTGACTTTACCCCTAGGATTTAGAATGGTAAGATTTGAGTTTCTTGGATCGACTTTCTATTAATCTCGGTATTGGACTATAAATGCGTCGTTTTCTTCTAAAAATTGAATAAAATTTTAATCCGAGACGAAACTTTAGCTGTGAAAAACACAGCGCGTAGCGTCAAATTAGGAAAAATATGGGAATGGATTAGAAAAGGGATGACGAAGAGGAGTGACAGAAATGAAAGCGAAGAAAGGAAGAATGGTTATGAGGTTATGGATCATCGTGATTTCATGATCTTTTTTTACTTTGCATCTGTCTTTTTTTGTATGCGTCTAAAATTTATTGAAGCATTAGAATAGGCGACGTTGTCAATTTTAAGATTTTAGAGCGCTTTGATACTTAAGTGGTCGGCATAACATCGTAGGCTCTAACACTTCGTCTATTCATCGACCTTCTGGTTTCTTCGAATTAAGAGATAGTCGTTTTGTCGAGTTTCGTGAACTTCACCACGGGCGAAGTCATACACTCTTTGGCCTTAACGAAGTTTGCTTCCATAACGCTAGGGCTATTAGAAGACAACAACGATTCCTACGATTAAGTGATCGAGAACAAACTGGCCGTGTCCAACATGTTCATGTACCAGATAAGATTTGATATTATTGAGACATAAAACAGGTATGAGTGACAAAAGAACGGCAAACTGCATTTGATGGAAATGGTCTTTTGTGGGAAT